AATCTAATAAAACGTACAATGAGAGTTTTTGAAGATTTAGATTTCTTTAAAGATACGAACACCGAAAATTAAAATTGTCATTTCATTGTAGACAAGAACTGAAATAGCTTTAGTTTATGAATGTGTCATACTCTGACTCTAATATAAAATTTATTTAAAGTGATAATAATAAAAAACTAAAACATATATTTATTCTTTATATATTTATTGAAGTATATCGACTGAGTTGATAAATAACTTGTATATAGTATTAAATTTATAGGAAGTATATGGTACTTCAATCAAAAAAATCAAATCAATGTAATTATCTATTCTACCCCTCGAAATTAAAAAAACGTCTACATTTAAAGTGTTAGCTCTTTATTTATTTGATTATGAACTCCTTGATGATTTGAAGTCACGTATAGAAAAATATTATTAATGAAGAGAATTTTGGGACTTTTTAAACCAAATTTATCTGTGTCATACAATTGAAATATATATCCTATTTGTTTTCTTTTCTTCTTAACTTTTGATATTTATTGCCTATTATTGCATGATTCCGACATAACCAAATATACCAGTCGCGATTCCTTATATAGGCTAATTAATGTCGTCTATAAAAATTTCATATCCACTCGTTTTTTTAACTAGGGACGGTTATTTATATGTTCTAGTTAAAGTCCTGTTTAAATATTTTACTTGTGTTTGTTTTATTTATTATATTATAAATTTATAATACCATCTATACGATTTTTTATCTGCTTTTGTTTCTACTTATTGAAATATTTTTGTAGTATTGGAAGTAAGCTTATCTACTAAAAGTTTTATTAGCAAGACAATTTGTATAAATTTTTTGTGAAAAAAAATACTTAGTATCCCTTAGACTGACTCACTATCTTTACTGCCTTGCTTCAAATTATATGAGGACCTCATTAAAGCCTATTTAAATCTGTACCTAAACTATAAAGTCTGAAATTGATTGAATCTAAAATTAGTTTTATATTTTCCTCACTCTCATTATAATCTACAATTTTCTCCATTGTTTTAATTTTCTGCTTATGTTTCCTGTCGGGAATGAATTTTGATTACGAAATATAAATCCTATAGACCTTTTCAATTTTGCTTTCTTCGTTGATATATGCTTCCAGCTATTAGTTTCAATCTCAATATTCATTTTTAACAGCTTAAGAGCTGGTTTTATAGTGGATCAAAGTGTCACATAGAGGCTTTTGATGCTTTCCATCAACTGAAAAACGATTATGTACTCGTTTCTAAAAGAGTCAATTAATTTTAATATACTTAATTTTATTTCTCAATTACCATTAAGATGGCTTTATACGTCAAAACTTATATGGAATTTATTTATTTTATATATATAACTACATACGTAAATAAACTTTTATAATATATCAATTAATTATGTATAGATAAATGTAGAGCTTTATATAAAAATCTTAATATATATATCATTTAAATATAACTTAAATATTTATTTAATTGTTAGAGTGCAATTGTCGCAATCACATCTATTTGATAAACATGCTATATTGGCGTGTACCGATAAGTGGTTAAGGTAGCTCAAAATAGCCGACTCTACAAAAATCCGTATCTATATCTGCGTGCCCGTAAGATTAGAATCGCTCCACTGTGAAAAATATAAAATTTTCGCATTCAATATCGTTTTTCTTATTTTTTCACATTATGTATTTGTTATAATTTAGTACTTGGTTACCTGCTGTGCAATCATGTTTTTATTAAATTTTTTTCTTTGCAAAACAACTGTTTATATATTTGTTCTATATTTTAAACAAATCAAATAAAAAAATGTATAAATTATATTTTTTATTATAACATACATACTAATCATATCTAGTCTATGGCAACTTGTTGAAAATATGCAACGTGCTAGCAGGAGCAGATATATGGTACTTATAAATGAGATCTCAGATAGCAACTTCAAGTAAAATTATCGCGATATGACTGTGATTTATTTTAAAATTCGCAAAAAGAAATTGTTTAAGTACTTATAAAGTATTATTTATAAAGTAATAATTGCTATATTATTATAAACGAACCTATAAAATCCATTTATATTTTGAAGAATATTTTTTCTTTTACGTATTATTAAACGTTTACCCACTTTATGTGAAATCACCACAAACTTATTTCATTCTCAATAAACAGGAATTTATATATAAAACTGTTAAAAATTTATATATGAGCAGATGTTTATAATAACTTTTTTAATTATTAGTTATTATATTAGTATGACGATGGTATAAGTGATGTAATTCAATTTAAAAATACTGACAGGTCTAAATAAGTTTAAATCTATTGACTTATTATAAAAATCATTAGTTATTGCAATAATAAATGGTTTTTAATAGATCACATCTTTCAATCAATTTTATACATACTGACTCTATAAAGTGTAGAGTCAAATAACTTCCCTTCTTGTCAGCTTGTTTAAGCAATTGTCAGCAACTGCCAGGAAGCAAGTCTAAAATCTTCTAGCTTTCGTTGAATTGAATGAGGACTCGAATCTTAAACCAAAAAAAATTTTTAGTGGTATTTATATATCTTAGAATATCTTAGCAGATTTTCTTTGATTCATACCTATATTATTGAACTAAATAACATTACAAAATTTCTCAAAAAGATTAACTTGTTACGGATTTGCATAGGGGACTTTCTCTATGTCTTGCACTATAATCTAATCCCCTCTTTCTGTCTCAATGAATTACTTCTACAGATGCAAATTCAAATCGAGAGAACAACAATTTTTTATTCAAAAATTTAATTTATTCTAATTTACTGTAATTTATATTATTTAATGTATATTCGAAGATATTCGAAGATATGTGTATTGAAGATATGTTCTATGAAGATATGTGTTTAAAATTTTCAGTACGCACATTGGATCCTGGTTTAAAAAATGAAAGAAATTGTAAGGTTGAAGGCAGGAAGGAGCTGTCAAAGAGTATTTTACCCGAAATTAATTAAGCCTTCAAATCGGAACCGAACCGAAAAACGAAAAAATCTGATATTTTTGCTGGAACGAAATTCGGAACCGAACCGAAAAAATATATCGGTTTAGTACCATATAGTTTGGTATTTATTCATTCACGCAAATTTCTCTTCAGATGTTTTCATTTATTTATTTTATTTTATTTTATTTATTTACATTTATGTATATTTACTTAAATTATCGATGATTGAATATTTTATTCAACGAACTGAAAACCGAATTTTTTGCCGGAGCGAAAACCGGAACAGAAAAAATACCGGATCATACCCCTGTAATAAATTTGTAGTTACAAAAAATAATTTAAAGATAATTTTGCTGAAAATTTGTTTAGAAAACGTCATTTGTGTAACATTTTTTTTGTTTGTTTGTTGTATATTAAAACTATTATTATCTTGGGAACACTTTTGTTAGAGAGTTTACAGTCATCACCATCACCTTTAATGCACTATTTTTCTGTTATTGTTCTTTGAAGTGAACTATCTACTGTTTTTTCTACAAAAACGTACAGATATGTTGATTTTGACTTGCATGCCTTCGTGAATTAATATGTCATTGAAAGAACAAATAGTAGATAAGTCACTTCAAAGGCTGACTTTAAGAAAACGCCGCATGATAGAAGAACAATTCTTCACCAAAAAAGGTTTGCCAAATAATAAGGTGTAGTTATATGAAAACACATATGTTTAAAATATAAAATATGTTTAAAATATTTTCCAAAACCCTTGATTTTGAACCATGGTGGTTTTTGAATCCATTCAAGACCTGTTAAATATTATTTAGTGGTTCCGAACTACACAAATTTGACTTACTAAAAAACAATTAATAAGTCATTAATTTATTGGACCGAATATCTTCTTCTTGGATATACTTTTAGGACGCCTTACGGAAATACGATTTCTTTCATATCTTGAACCAAGAATTTAGGGAACAATTCCTGGAAACACCCAGTATAAATTATTTTTATCATAACATGAAGCCACAATGAAATATTAGACAAATTATTTTGATTATAAATAAAATGATAAGATTAGAAGAAGATATTTTAAGATTATATATAATTAAGTAACTGTTCCATTTATATATATATATTATACACTGTTTTATCTTAATGTGTATAAAAACAGAAGCAAGATGATTATATATGGTGGCATAAAAATATAAAGAGTATGTCATTGAGTTAAGGAAATTTGTAGTATCAAGTGTTGAATTGATGTCAAATAGCACGGGTTTTATTTGTTAATCAAATATTTTTTTTTCTGGAAATACTTATAGTGAACTAAGTGTGAAATTCTGTAATACATATCTGACATTATAAGCTGAAGAAAAGATAAAATACTTATCTTTTATTATCACATTTTCATTCTATTGTTAATTTAGTTAGTTTATGTCTTTTGTAGACTAAAGAGTGTTTGAACTGGAGAGCTCTTCTACTTTTCAAGATTTTAAAATAGTTATTAGAAATAGTAAAAGTTATTAATATTATATTATATTAACAATAATTATATAGATATATAATATTTTAATGGCGGTTTTTTATAAAGACAGTCCTATATAAAATTAGTACATAAGATAACAAAAAAAGATTGAAGTAGACTAATAGTCTTCGGGGTAATGGAATTATTTGATTATGGCAGTACAAAGCAGAATATTGATTTAGAAATATTGTATTGTTTATTCCTTCAGTTTATTATATGTTAGAGTAATTTGGTTACATATAGTCGTGATATTTTGATTTCTAATACAGATAAGCAGCATTCTTAATTTATAAGATTTAAGCATAATAAGTAATTTTATAGTGTGTAATGCTATGGAAACTGGTTGATAATTTCGGGTTGTTCAAGATCTGGTTAACGTTTCTGGTGTAACATTTTTGAAATCTCTTTTATCTCTCCTAAATAATCAGAAATATATGTTTGACTTACTACCAGAACAGTTTGTAATATGGTAACTTCACCTAACGCCATTGATAATTCATATTATTTTACTTATCTTTTATGAGGAAAGATAGATTACGCTAGTGTGTAGAGTTGATTGCTGGGAAAAAACCTACTAACAGAGTTAATTTTACAAAAACATAGTCGGCAATGTGCAAAAATTGCAAAAAAAAAAAAAGTTGGAGAAATTAACAATTATTATACGTCTCAGATAAATATAGAAGTTGCTTTAATTAATTTTCTAAAATTAGTCAACATCGTAATGATAACCAAAGAAAGAAACATACTTAACGTATTCTCCATTCATAAATTCATACAATTTAGATTGCTTTGTTTACTCTGTTGTCAATGAGTTAAAGAAGATACTAGATAAAATGATCTTTATACAAAATTATATATTTAGTCAATCTTAGAATTCAGTAGCATTTGTGCTAAAAGATAGTAGCACAAATGCTATGATATTATATATGAATTTACAACTCATATAGAACGTGATGTTGTTTAAAATGAGAAAAATATATGACATCTTTAGTGGTAAAAAGTTACATATTAACAAAGACATGTCGCTCTTAAAAGTAATCCAGAAACCTATGGCAGAATTTTACGAGATTTGTTAATTAATGCAATGAACTTTATTGCCTTAAACTCAATATCTCAATTTCTAACATAAACTGTATGGATATTTCATGGTTCTTCAATAATATATACAAACATAATTATAGAATCTTTTTTTGTAAATTGTTCGAATATGAAAACACTATTGGTGGTTTTAGTGGAATATTGGCAACGTCCGATAAGTTATCTTTCGACAGTATTTGTAGATTATTTCATCTTGTAAAAGCAGATAAGGGATTTAAAAGAAGGAGTATGCTTTCCCCATTCTTTTGGTGTTTTCACATTTGGACTGTGTTTTTACCATTATTACTTATGTGAGTACAGGGACAGAAGTTGTACTTTTTCTATATGAACGCAATCAATTAAAAGTGACTCTGATAACTCCATCTCAATCTATTTGTATACTCGTATAAAGTAAGTTTAATAGTAAGTTTAAATTAGTGATTATTTTAATAAACGCGAAAATTAGGTTTTGTTAAATGAACAACATAAATACTACGTTAGTCACTACGTTAGTGGGTTATTAAGTAAAACAATCGTAGTTTATTCAGATGTTTTATATTGTCTCATGTCAAAAGTAAATACGAAATTTCAAGTTAAGATATAATTTAAAAATGTCATATATTGGAGAGATTTTTATCAAGTGTATTTAATATTTTACTATTTAGTACATTATTAAAAAAAAAAAAATAAAAAGTGATTATTAAATATTTATAAAAATATATATACATATATATTACTTTTAGTCAATTTTAACATGAATATAATTATATATTATATTGTATATTATTTTATACTTATACCTACGTCGTTTTAAATTTTTTTAATTTTTGTTGTAGAGTTTTAAAACTGCTAAATTAAAAAATGTATTCACTATTTTAAGTGAATTTTAAACTGAAAGTCACAAATTCCAATTTTTGAAGAGTCATCAAAACGTTTATTTTGCTTTTATGACTATTAGTAAATATATTTTATTGTTATGATCTTTATAAGCAACTTATCCCCACTATCCTTAATAAATTTTCTCATATATTTTCTGATGAAAATTTTTTTTTATATATTTATGTATATGGAAGACGTCATAAATACATATGGTTATACAGTTAAACTTTTATAACTCAAAGTCCAATTTTGCAAAGAAAATATTTGACTTATGTTAGATAATTTTTCTATTTTTTTTTATTTTTTAAAAGAAACTAGAATTACATTTCAAGATATTAATTTATTTGCAATCAAATAAAGCATAGAAGTTATAGTGAAGTAAAATATTCAGAAAATAAGGTTTGCGACTATAATTTTTTTCTTATTTTCAATAAGAAGAAATTCCACTTTATTTATATTCTTATCACTATCAGTTGTAGTATTATTCGTTTGCAAATATAAATTCAGAATATTGAATGAGTCTTGTACTTCACTGTTGGAAGGCAGATGCTCTAAAATGAGATCTAGTAATTCAGAACTATAATATCGTTCAGAACTATAACATCGTCAATAATATCGTTATCTGTAGGAAAGCTTAATATACAAATTTCATTTTCAAGCTAAATATAATTGTTAAGAGTAGCATTGGAAGTAATTTTATTAAGAAGTAGCATAAAAAAAAACAACATTAAAATTAAACATTTGGTTTGGAAAAAGGGACTTCCCCTAATAGCAAAATGCATTTATAATTAAAATAAAAATTCGACTTATAAAATGTACTTTCTCATACATATGTATATCTATTGGCACGGAACAAAATTTTTATTTGAGTTATAGAGAAATTCGAATTATAGAAGTTCGAATTATGGAAGCAGAATTGTATGTAATTTGCTCTCTTAAACCTTGGTGCACTGTTTTATGGAAGTTTGACTGTATTAAAGATAAAAAATTTTTTATATAAATTTAGTATAGTAATTTATAGTGTTATAGTTTATAGCACTTTAGATTTTTTGACAGAGTGGCGCCAGATTACTCTGAAATTAACAGCTGTTTTATATGATTTGACAGACAAAATGTGAATTGATTTATTATATACATATGTATGTTTGTGAAAAATATTAATGTCTAACATGAATAAAAAATGTTAGATTACTCCAAAAATACTCGATAAGACAACAAAATTTGACATATCAAGAGTAAATCTGAAAGGAATCCAAATTTACCAATCGAAAACGCCATATGTTATATGATAATTTATTTAGTATATTATATCAATTATACTTAATTCTATTTATTAGTTAATTTATATTGCAATTTTTAGCAATGAATTTTTAATTATGTTCAGTAGAGTTGAGAAAAAAGAATCTTGTCTTTTGTTTCAATAATTAGAATATTATTAGAAAATAAAAATGATATATTTCTAGAAAAAAAACAATTAACCTTTTCACAACCTTTTGTTAAAAAATATATAAGATAATTCACCACCTGATGTATTAAAATACTTTGGTGTTATAAAGCACTGAAGAATTCGCTTTGAACATCATCGACTAATAAATTTGAATATTTCTAGAAATATGATTTGCACAGATGTTTCAAGTACTTCAGTTGTCAGTTATCTACAGACCTTTGTTTAACTAAGTAAATACACATTGTTTTGTCGGTTCAGATAATTCTATTTGTATCAACTGAGTTGTATAACTCTTTCAGAATTCAATCTAGCACTGTAGTTACTTTGAGTGAATTATTTAGCGTAGTCTGCATTTTATGTTGAATAAAGGTTTTTGATAAAAAAGAGATTTCATTTCAGTTTTTAAAACATGTTGAATTAAATAAACAAAAGAAAATATATTTTAATATTTAGTTTTCGTTTAAGTTGCGACTGTAAAAGTGTTCTACTAAGAAATTAGTAACAAAATTTAATTTATTTTATTATTTCACCTCAAAATAATTAGAATTAATTTCCAAACAAAATGTTTAAAAAACGTGGATTTCAGATATTAGCATTTATAACATTTATTAATTTTATCGCTGTTATATTACTGAATTTTGGTTTTATCAATTTTTCTACAAAAATGCATAAACTTATATATCCGCAAGAACTGAATTTGGACACATCAGTGAAAGGTAATGAAAATTAAGTGCTTTAGAATGTCAAATATCTAATAAGTTATTGTTTAGAACCCACCTTTGAAGAAATGGTGAAAGCGGTAAATAAGGAATTACCTAATCTACCACTGGAGCTTCATGTGAAAAATCGCTACAGAGGTTTTCGTTTAAATAGCACATGCGCTCCATATCCAGAAGTACTTGAAATACAGTTTCATAATAATGTCTATCAGCAATATGCCAACTTAAATGTGACATTTGAATTATTTGCCGCATACTATGACAATCGTACCACAGTGCCACAACATCCTGTAATACGTATATTAGCAATGATAAATCAAATTGAAGAGAAATTTCCCACAAGTTACTGTCAATTGTGGTATGAAAAACAAAAGGAACCTATAATTCTGCCCATAATAGAATATTTACCAATTTGGTATAAATATTGGGGCAATAAACCTAACCACTTATATCCACACATGTTGACCTGTGTGCTGCCAAGAGATAAAGTTTCCGAAGTTCCGCAAAGCATATCAATTGTAAATAAAGAGTGTGATAAAGCTACAAATCACCTGAAAGTCGTATATGAACCACCATTGGGAAGGAGAACAAAAGGTGGCTTTGCAGTTTGTGTTAAGGGATTTATGTTCCCATTTGCGGATATGTCAGCACGTTTAGTAGAGTGGCTTGAAATGATGCGTATACTGGGTGCTCAAGAAGTAATTGCTTACACATTGACCATACATCCAAACACTACTAAAGTAATAGATTATTATAAGAAAAAGGGTTTCTTAAGAATGTTTCCTTATTCTTATGCACGTGGTGAGCCTGTATACGCTAATTATCAGCGTTATATTATGAAGGAAGATTACTTGAACATGGTACTAAACGAAATGTTTCCATACAATGATTGTTTGTATAGAAGTTTATATAAATATGATTATGTGGCTGGTATTGATATTGATGAAGTGATTATGCCAATGGGTAACTGGACATCATGGTATGATATTGTTGAATATAGTGAAAAATTTCGAAATTCAAAATGTAATAGTTATGCAAGCATTTGTTTTCGAAATGTCTATTATCCAAGGTACGAAGGTCAGCCTCCATATTCCACGGATATACCGAAATACTTTTATATGTTACAGCATGTGAAAAGAGTTGAGAAACATTTACCTTCTGGTATGGCTGCCAAATGTCTACATAACACAAGTGATGTCTTGACACTGCATAATCATTTCAGTATGAGTCGTTTGGGTTGTTATGCATTGGATATTAATGTAACTGAAGCTCAGCTACAGCATTATAGAGAACCGGACGATAAGAAAACTTTGAATACCAGTGTGGTGGATGCTAATATTTGGC